ACCACTCAACTACAAACATGTTTAATAATCAATGAAAAATTATACACGTTTGCTTAAAGTTATTGCACTTGAAATGTTAATTGTTGGAGCCGCCATCTTTCGTTTGTCTCTTCTCTATCTAGACCTCTGCCCAACAACAACAAAAAAACGCTATTAAGTCCAAATTAGTTAATATTAAATAACAATAAACATAATTTTGGAAAAGAAACAGAAGCATATCACTATATCTTTATTTCATGTTCAATGTTTATTATAATTGTTACACGCGATTTTAAATTGTACAAAATTGCTTACCTTTCATTAGACATTTTAGTATTTTTAAATCATTTCCTGTTGTTTTTTTTTCTCCTCGTTTCAGGTAAGTAAAATTATTTCAAGAAAACCTTACAGTAACAAATCTCACCTGTCTCATAAAGTTTTGATTAGTGGAAAATTTAAAACTGGAGGCTTATATTTTATTTTGTACCAGGATATGAATGTTATTATATACACACACACACAGTTGAAACAGAATAATTAGCAGAGATGGTAGATAGCGCTGCCATAGTTTCAGCTTATATGTTATTTTGTACCAGGATATGATGGTTATTATATATACACACACACAGTTGAAACAAAAGTCCTTCGGAACCAATTACAGGAAATGTAGTCAAATAGCTTAAATTGATCATAATTAGAATTATTAGCAGAGATGGTAGATAGCGCTGCCATAGTTTCAGGCTGTTATAATCATCATTGTACAGGGGAGATGGTATGCGATAATAAACCCATTACAAACCTATATAACGTTAGGAATTACATTCCCGAAACCTTTAGCAGCTCAAAATCGAAGTTACTTGTTAAACTTTAAAACTATTTATTTATTTACATTCTATTAATCAAAGTAATTATATTATCTGCATTCCTTATCTAACACAAATGATCGGTAAAACTAGTCATCTACCTTCTGAACGTTGGATCTGATACCTTTTTGTACATGCACCACCATTCAGTATCCAGAGTGTAACTAACTAACTTTCAATACAGGCAGCTTTCTATTAGCTTTTAAGGAAAGTTAATCAAGAAACCGTATTGGCTAAATGTCGCCACTGTGAGAACAAAAATCAGGGTCCGATAAGATTTAGTACAATCCCGAAAAAAAGAGGGATTACAATTCATATTTCATGCTCTGGCACTTGTGTATTCATGTGGCGCCATCTTTTGAACATTTTGAAATAATTAAGCATTAATATATTTTCACGTATTGTTGTTTAAATTTAATTATTTTTATTGCAGTAAAAAAAAACCCTCAAAAACAACATCTCTTTTAAATATACATCTCAGTGTTTTCTTTCTTTACTATTAATTATAATGAATTCAATTTTGTTTTAAAGAGAGGTACTAGAAACTGATATCGAAAAAGCATTAAATCTTCATGAAATATCCTAGCTTCCACTTTCCCAAATTCCCAAGAGATGGCGTTTGTATGATATTGTTTATTAGTAAGATGCTGACTACAGAATACTTAACAAAAAGGCAGTCAGCCACGTTTCTCTTATTGAAATTGCATTTCCATTTGTAGATGCATAGTTTAATCGTTTTCAACGATTTATCAAAAATATACCCTTCTCGGTATAAATGATTTCAAATGACTTAGGGTTAATTAGCAGTATATAAAAAATTGAAATATTTATTATATTTCTTTTAACATAAAGCTATTTGTGCTGCAAAGTTTGAACCCCACATTTTAGAGGTTATATACTCACTGCCATATAGCTTTTCTATATAAAGTTTCGTTCCTCCGCTGGGTCAGTTAAAAATTTGGAGTTCGATTCCTCGTCGCGGTTGACAGAGCGCAGATAGCCCATTGTATAGCTTTGCACTAAGAAAACAACTACTTAATTAAAAATAAATAACATTTAGAAAACATACATCAACATTAGACCAAAATTTGCAATCTGATTTAATTTTTGTGTGACTTTATAACCACAGCCACTTTTCTCTCCACGGTTTAAAATAAGCCCAATAAATTATAAACACAAGATTCAGTCTACAGCAGTAATACATTAAAACAAGATAGACAAAACAAAAGTTGAAATACCACTCAGATGACATTAAAAAATCAAGCAACTATTATTAGAACACATGATTTTACTGTTACTATTAGTTAACAAGAGAGAATCCTCAATAACCTGATTATAATTAGAGCTCAAATCGGTCAAGAGATGGAGCTATGAGATAAAAGTTTGTACTTGAGAAAAACAACAAATCAGCGCCGTTCTATGAGCCGATATGTTGCGGCTAAAAAATGTTTTACAAACAAATATGTTGCAGTAATTCAGGTTTTCGTAAATTATTTTTATTTTCAAACCATAGCAATTTTTTAAAGAAATTAATCTGCATCTTATAAAGTTTATCTTATTTCTTAAATTATATTTCATTATTCATTTGTTTCCGTTTTGATTTTCTACTTAAAGTTTACTAATTTATAAAAAAAAAAGACATTTACATTTTATTGGTGAAGTGATTATTAATGTATTATTAAAATAACTTAAAAATTCGTTTTCAAGAATGCACCAGGTTTTGACAAAACATAACAAGAAGCTCAGTGTCTGCAAACCCCCTTATAAAATATACTAGATGAGGCTCCTCAGGCTCAGTACATGAAAGCAATAAATCCAACATCTTAAAAGTACAAGAAATAGCGTTTGATGAAAAAAAAATAAGTGCGAGTGTGAAGCTTCTTCAGCTTAAAAAAGTACATATAAAATGGTTTACAGCAAGCTAAAAGTGCAAAGCTTATTTGAATATGTTTTTCTCTCTCGCTGAAAGTGTGTATATCCAGTTTTATTACGAAAAATATTAGCGGAGTTTGATTTTTTTTCCAGTGATGATTGTGAACCATTTATAAGGCTAGTGATTGCTTGCTTTAAAACTACTTTTTAACTCGCGTCACCAAACGTTTCTACTTTGTTACAGCTTGGCGAATTAGAACGCGCTAAGCCTAAATTTAAACGAGCACAGTAACACAATAAACATATTTTTGTAACCAACCATACCACACGATTTAATTAGGTAGTAAATTTGTCGAAAATCTCCAAAAAACACACGACTGAATATGTTTAGATAAAAGCTTTTAGAATACGTTTAAATACAATTTATTCGTTAGCTAGAGGAAGAAGAAAATGTCTCGACGAAACTGCTTATATGATTTTATTTTTATATATACTAATTATCGAGAGGTATTAATAAGATATATATCAAATTATCCATTATAACAGTTACTTTAGTCCGCACATTTCAACTTTCAAGTCAATCTGAATGTTGCATAACTTTTCACACACAAAAACATTTTTGGTTGAAAGTCTTGCCTATAGGTTGTAGCTGTATGAAAAAAGAGAAGCAAAAACATACGTGGTGTATATGTTTAGTCCTAGCGGGTGGTTCTCACTATGGAACGTTTACTTTCTTCTTCTTCAGGGTGGACGTAGAAGAGCCTTCTGAAGAAACGAGAGCTTCTCCTCTAATTCTGCTTTTTGTTTCAAGGCCTCTCTTAATGTGTTAAACATCTGCCTCTCCGTGATTCTCCACATTCGTATAATGTCATCTTTGGGCATTGAGTAGAGATGTTGAACATCCAAGGCGTTTTGAAGTAAAAGGGCAGACCGATGGCTGGGAAGATTCAAGTTGAAATTCCTGTATTCGTAACGATCAACAGCACTGAGTTCATCTAGACGTTCTCCACTCTTTAAGGTCCTAAGGTCTGTAAAGGAAATAAACTTTTTGATGCACCTTTCCGCGACCTTTTTGTGTTGATATCCAATCGATGAAAGATCGTTAAGGCTAAAACTGGAGATACGATCATGGCGACGAGGTAATGAAGAGGAGGAAGAAGACACTGAAGAACTGGAAAGCGACATCGTGATGTCCGATGGTTGGACAACAGACCTGGATGGTAAAGAATGTGAACATATTCTAGAACACACCAAAAGTCGTTCTTGTTGGGGAATAATGAGGTCCAAAGGTTGGCCACTTTCTTGACATACTGTTTTATTCCTTAACCACGAGGACACTTGCTTTCTCGGGGATTCTCTTCTTTGATGAAGAAGATGGTTCTCGAGAAGATCGGAATCTGCTGCTATGTTCTCTCGTTCTACTGAAGAAGAGACGTCATCGGTTGAAGCTAATGTTTCCTGGTCTTGGTAGACTCTGAGAGAAGAAAGAATGACGCCATTCTGTGTTTATTAAATCAGTCATTTGTAGTGCGGGGAGAGTTTACTAAAGATTTATTTTAAAAAGCTCCGAAAGAGGGAGAACCTGTCCACGAGAAAAGTTTAAAGACAGTAGCAGTAAATAAAGCATGTTTAGATAGTGACATCCACC